TTTGGTCATTTGGATTGTACTTTTTTTCGTTATCTACACAATCTCTAATATAAGAATATATGTTGGCAACTTTTGGTAGATAAAACTTGTGTATCATATAGCTTGCTATTTTGTGATTTTTGTTTTTGTCCTTCTCCAATACTGTTTTATTTTTCTTAAAAAGGAAAATTCTGAAGCCTTTTACATTATTCATTTCATGTCATTTCGTGTTTAGGCGAATTAATATATATTCAAATAATTTTAAGCAAATATGGAGTTAAAAGTATATATTCAGCTAAAATGTAGATGTCAATATGAAGGCAGTAGTTGATTGGACAAATATTTCTGATCTTTCATGTCAATTTCGAAATGAGTGAGTTCAAATTCACATAAAGCTGAGTTTAAAGTGGCATATACCACTAGGCTAAAAAGGACAAAAAAAATATCAGTAAAATTTTGGATTTAATTTGCAAAATGAACTACGTAGATAACGTCACTACCAAATATGTAAATTAAATAAGTATAAACTCATTTTGGCGTGATTTGACAAAATTATCATTATAATTTGCATATCCTTCTGTAAAATATTATTATTTCACGTGTAATAGGTTGGAATTTTTAACTTTGATTTTAATCAGATTAAACGGTGTAATATTATGTAAGATAATATAGTATATCACTATTTTTATATATAATAGCATAATATCATATAAAAATAAGTGTTATCAAATAAAATAATATAATATTCGTTTAATCACATTTGAAATTGTTAACTCTAGTAGAAGTTATCATTTTTTCTTGTACACTTACCAACCGAAAAGGATACAAACTCATATATGATCTTTTACTTAAATATTTGTTAGTCGTTTTTAATGTATTCAGTAAAATTATCCAATTTAATTAAACTAAAAAGTTTATTGAAATTCAGTTTTGTGTCGATTCAGTATTTTAAAATATATTTTGAATAATGTTACATAATTAAATGTTGTTTTCAGTATATTTAGAAGAAAAGAAAATCCATTTTATTAAAAGCATGAGCTTTTCAGGTTTTTGTAGATAATTAGTTTGATTTGAGAAAATAAGAAGCACTTGATTTTTAAAATTGGTAGGACTACGGGTTAGTTGGAAATTTCTTTTACAATGGTTTATTTAACTTTATTAAGTTGAAATGTCATCTTATCTTATAAAATCCTGTCAAATATAAATAATATATATGACGGGATACAAATTTGGGTGTCGACCATTTGATTTGCCTACAATATTGTGGATTGTGGTCAAGAATCAAGATTGATGTGATGCCAAAGGGGACCAAACATGTTTTCTTTTCCTTATGATCTCTTTATCTCTATTCTTTTATTTTGTTTTGTTTGTTTTTTTTCCTCTCTTAATTCCTTGTTCTTTCGTCACTGATCGGCCATCCTCGTCGATATCTTTTCCTTTTTAATACATCTAGTTAAAAACATATTCTCTCTACTTGTTTATCTATATATTGGCTAAAGGAATAGCATAAGCATCCGATACTTGACGATATATTATGCCATCTTCATGCTAACTTCCACACAAAAAAATAGATGTTTCCGTAGCAATGTTTTGTTGTTTGGGGGATAAGAAAATGAATAGAATAGAGTAGGGGTCTCAAATTAAAAAAAAAAAAAACTTAGAATAAACGCCTTTTTCTTTTTATTACAAAAATATCATCGAAGATGAAGAATGAAGTATGGAGCTTCATGTGACTTGCACCCTTATTTTTCAAAATCTTAGGCGTGTGATGTTTTTCCAACGTACGTCTATTATTTTCTTCCTGATTTGAATGAATTAAATCTAAATCTACTCAGTTAAAAACAATGCTCTTATATATTATGCTGTAATAATTGTGACAAAATAAATTTTACACTTATAAACTAACTCTATTTTTAAATAAAATTTGAATTTTTTTGCTCTTTAAAGTATGTTAATTAGTGAGAAGTAAAACCATAAATTATAGATAAGAGCGGCTAAAAATATATATTACTCCCTCCGTATTTTAATAAGTGTCGTTTTAGGATTTTCTTTTTTTTAAAATTAGATGTCGTTTTCAAATTTCTATGCAAAATTTATTACTTTTTAATGTTTTATGATATCATAAAACATTAAAAAGTAATAAATTTTGCATAGAAATTTGAAAACGACATCCAATTCAAAAAAATAAAAATTCTAAAACGACACTTATTAAAATACGGAGGGAGTATTTTGCTAGAAGTGATGTATATACTTATTTAAGTGGATGCATATTTGTTGTATTTTTTGTCGAGTAATATACTTTAGGGAGATTGACACAAATAGCCCCAAAAAAGTTGTTTTTTCAAAAAATAGCACCTCATTTAAAAAGTTCCACAAATAGCACCATAAACTTCAATTAAACTTAATGAAAATATAAGATAGAAAATTAAAAAGAGAGCAAACACTAATCTAATATTAAATTGAATCAAAATTGTTTTAAATAGTGGAAATATATACCCTAATTTGAAAATAGGGAACCCAAATATAATACCACAAACTAATATTAAAATAAAAATCTCTTTTAAATGGTGAAAATATATACCCTAAATTGGAAATAGGGAACCCAAATATAATACCATAAACTAATATTAAAATGAATCAAAATCTCTTTTAAATGGTAGAAATATATACCCTAAATTGGAAATAGAGAACCCAAATATAACATTTTAAATTTATTTCTAATTTATTTTGTTGAATAGCTTTTATATAAAAGTTGTGGTATTATTGGAAAAAAAAAGCTAGTGATAAAATTTTTAGAACAAAAACACTAATAGTAAGTTAACTAGTGCTATTTTTGGAAGTTTATGGAGTGTGTGCTATTATTGTCAATAAAACTTGTTTTAGGGCCATTTTTAGGAATTTCTCTATACTTTATATAGAAAACTGAAAAGGTATTCGATTGTTTATAGATGTAAGATTAGCTTTTGTTTTAATATATAAAATATAAAAAAATCCTTTTAGACGTGATGTATATAAGCAATTTACTGGATGCACATTTGTTGTATTTTTTATATTAAATTGTAAAGTAAACATTAAAAAGGAAATTTAAGTAAGATTTAATTCGTTGATTTAAACTGATTTGGATTTTAGGTGAGAATTCGAAGCTATGAAACAAATAAGTTGGGTACAACAACACATAGATCCAAGTCTAGCTAAAAGTGGGTGGACCCAATAAAGTCCAAACCTCCTTCGTAGGCTTCTTCCGTGGTCCGTGTATTTCGTGGGGTCTCGCACCACAGACCACACCACACCGACCCAAACACCTTATCCATTAACCGGACTCTAACCGGACTTCCGGACCGGATCTCTTATCGACCAATTTTGCGGCGGCGCCATGTACCTGCCTTTCTTATTTTTTTGGTAGTCCGAATATAAAACTCAGTGACATTTTTCTCCTCTTCGTACATTAAAATATCTATTGTACAAAAAAAGGTCAATAACTCTCTTACCAAAAAAAAAAAAGGTCAATAACTCGATTAGAAATGTACTATAAATTTTTTTCCAAAACTCGATTAGAAATGTACTATAATTTTTTTCCCAAAAGTCACAAGATCGACTAGTAACTACAACGGATAAAAATATTAAAGGTAAACCCGAAGTTAGAGAAATGTATGAGTTTCGTCATCAAACTTCCTAATTTATGAAATATATATCTACTGCCGATAAAATTTCCATGATTTAATGCATGGTAACTTTTACTCTTGTTTTGTGAAAAGATTAACGAACTTTAAAACCCTTTTTTTATTATTGCTTCAATTTCAAACCTCTGAAGTTATCCAAGTTCACCTGTAACAGTGACTTCTTTTGGGGCAAATTTGATAGGTTTTTTTTTCTTAATTGCATGATAAAGAAAAGTTTTATAAGCCCATCGAGTTATACAACGTAGTGTTAGGACACTTATGTTCAATATTTATATTTTAGATTTTTATGATTTCTTTCTTATAAATATGTGGTTTAGGTTTATATTCTTTTATATTATGTATTATTTCATTAAAATGAATTTTATTTTTACTCATATCCAAATTAAGGACAAATAACAAAACAAAATGGTTTTAGTAATATTCACGTTCTCTTTATAAAAAAAAAGATATATATATATATATATATATATATATATACGTTCGAATCATCTGGTTGATATGTTAGTGCACCTTTCTCGCTAGGTTATTATTATATATATACCCACTATGCATACGAGCCACGCCACCACCTGCCTGGCCACCACTTCTGATTTTCCTTTTACTTGTCCGGTTAACTTTTTTATTTGTTGATTAAACACCTGAATTATAGCTTACCACGTTAATAATGTGAAACCTTTATATAATTATTAAACAAACCTCTAATACATTAACCCAGTTTAATATTTACAGAAGCAGTTGTTGAGTTGCGGTCCAAAAGTTAAAGTCCAAAATGTCTGAGACCACTAGTTTATGTAAAAGATTCAGATAAGTTAAAGTAAGATCCCATCATAGTTGTTATACCAAGTCCAATATGCATAATATACACTTGTTTATTAATCTTATTATATATGTAAAACTTAGTTTAGTGGGCAATAAAAATATATTATTGTCGATCACATGACCAGCATAAATTAGTTTTGTTACGTTTACTTTATCTTATAGACATTCGGATATTCCTATAGTTATTTTTTAATCCTAATTAATCATTGTAGATATTTTTCAAAAATATCCTTAAGCTTCCAAAAACAAGCCTAAACATTGGTTTGAAATTCTATATTATTTTAATAAAAAATTGACCATAACGTGAGGGAAAAAATCAATATTGCTTTGCTACGCCATTATTAAAAGAAAAAAACAATTATTTTTTAAAAAAGTTTTTCTTACATAAAATGATGAAAAGATAGACGAGGACTGACTCACGCGTTGATTCCGAACTCTCTCAAGTAATTTTTGGATTTATGGTCTGGCAAAAAAAATAAAAAATATCCAGATTTATAAAAAGCTTCGTCACTTTCCTCTTTATTTAAATTAGAATAAATTCTCTCTTTTGTGAAAAAAAAAAACGATTATTTTCATGTCTCCAGTTGAACCCGCCGGGATAATGAAGAAAACCCATCGTCAGAAATCTCAGGTAATAAAACTTTTATGACCTTAAAAGGATTTTGTTGCTTGAAAAAAAAAAAAAAACTGAATTGGATTAGGTTTCTGATTAAAAGTGTGTGGATTATAACAGAGATTATGGGCAAAGCTAGTGATGAGAAAGTGGTTGAACATAAGTGGTAGAGATCCTGAGTATGGTGCTGATACTGAAGATGAATCCGAAAACGAAGGTGTTCGTGAAGACAACGATGACTCTAGTTCCGATGAAGAAGGTCTCTCTCTCTCTCAAAACACCGGTTCTTTATTTTTTCCGGTTATCTAACCGGTTTATAACAAACAGGTGGTAGAGAATCTTCTAGCTCAAGAAGAGAATCTTCTAGCTCAAGAGGAAGAGAATCAAAAGTTTGTGAGAACGCGGAGGACGCAATCGCAGCCGCTTCCGCTGTTGTAGACGCAGCAGCAGCTGCGGCGGAGTTTATTAGCAATGGTAATGCCGAAATTGCATAGGTAGTTATGAGATTCACTGTGGGGTGTTTTTGGGTTTTATATCTATTTTTAAGATCCCTCTGTTGAATTTCAAATCTTTTTTTTAACAAATCTGGAAAATAAAAATACGAATTTGTGAATTTAATATTTTTATTGTTTGGTTGGATCAGAAGCTCCAATGAAGTTACGAAGAAGGAATTCAGAAACATTAAGAGCACAGTACATTAACAACAAAGAAATAAGGTTCCATTTTTTTTCTTTCTAGATATTGTATTTTATTTTTATTGTACTATCTATATAGTAGATTCGAATGTTATCGTCTTATCTTTTTCAACATGTAATTTTTTTTTGTTGGGTAAAAGGAGACCCTAACATGTCGGAATTATGTAAATGCAGAGTTTGTGTTGGTACGTGGAACGTTGGAGGAATTTCACCACCATCTGATCTTGACATCGATGACTGGATTGAAATTAATCAACCAGCTGATATCTACGTTCTTGGGTAAACTTCTTAATTTTGACTTTTCTTGTCAGCGACATAGACAAAACTAACTCTGTTCAAATATGTTCTTGTTAGAGAATTTTTTATTCATGTTTTTTTTTTGTTGGGTATGAAGTTTACAAGAGATTGTACCGTTAAATGCTGGAAACATTCTTGGAGCGGAAGATAATCGTCCGGTTGCGAAATGGGAAGAAGTGATTAGAGAAGCATTGAACAGAGTTAGACCAAAACTCTCGGGTGTTAAGAGTTATAGTGATCCACCATCTCCTGGTAGATTTAAACCTTTTGAGGAAACACATGATGTTATAGAAGAAGAAGTAGCTTTTGAGAGTGATAGTGATGCTGGTGTTGAGGTTCATCCAATTGACGAGGAAGAAGAAGAAGAAACCGATAGGCTTTGGGCGTTAAAACATGACGGTGGAGTTATCGGTGAAGTTCACACTCTTGTTAACCCGAATACGGGTTTACCAGTTGTTGAGATCAAGAGACAGTTTTCGATTCCTAAGAAGCTAGACAGACAACTTTGTTTACGTGCTGATACTTTTGAGGGGAATATCGAAGAGGATTTTAGTCAAACCGGTATGAAAACGATAAACCGGATGTTAAGCGGGAAAGAACGGATCGGTTTGAGTTGGCCTGAGCCACCATTGAACATGTTAGGACCTTGCGTTCTCGATAGACAGCCGTCGATAAAGACAGTGAAGTCTTTAAAAACAGCAAAGTCTTTCAAGGCTTTTAGTTCGTTTAAGTCTGTAGCCGGAAGCAACAACGGGATTCCGCCGGAGGTATTGGCTCTAGCGGAAATGGACCTGAAGTTGCTAATGGAGAGGAAACGAAGACCAGCTTATGTGAGGCTAGTTAGTAAACAAATGGTTGGGATTCTTTTGACCATTTGGGTTAAACGAAGCCTGCGAAAACATATTCAAAACGTACGAGTCTCTACTGTTGGAGTTGGCGTCATGGGATATATTGGTAACAAGGTATATAAAGATTACATGTTTCCATCAAATATATGTTACAATATGTTCAGGATTATGAAGTGATTTGTGGTCTGCAGGGAGCTGTGTCTGTGAGCATGTCGATAAACCAGACGTTCTTTTGTTTCATAAACACTCATTTGACGGCAGGAGAAAGAGAGGTTGATCAGATCAAGAGGAATGCTGATGTACACGAGATACATAAAAGAACAGTCTTTCACTCTGTTTCAGCTCTTGGACTTCCTAAGCTTATCTATGATCACGAGTCAGTCTTTTTTTCTCTCTTCCACTATATTTTAAACTCGAACAACCCGTTTCGATTTCGATTTGTCTAACATTATTTGTGTGTTTTCACCACTTTTCAGAAGAATAATCTGGTTAGGAGATCTCAACTATCGGCTTAATTCATCGTATGAGAAAACCAGAGATCTCATTTCCAAGAGAGAATGGTCCAAGTTACTTGAATATGACCAGGTAACGTCTAAAGCAAATATAATTTGGATCACTTTTGTTACTGTTAGGATTTGGATCTCAAATATAATCTTTAGAAAACGTCTAAAGCAAAGAAACTTATTCACACACACGGTCTCAAATCTGACCTGTCGTACCCGAAAGATTAAGCACCACGACGCAACAATTCCCGACCATAGCGATAAACTTTCCTCCACTTATGTTCTGACAGATTTTGTTATGGTTATATATTGCAGTTGGTGAAGGAATACAGAAAAGGTAGAGCATTTGATGGATGGTCAGAAGGAACTCTACATTTTCCACCAACTTATAAGTACCAAGCGAATTCCGATGAGTACACCGCAAACGATGGAAAGGCACCGAAGAGAACACCAGCTTGGTGTGACAGAGTACTATCCTACGGGAAAGGAATGAGGTTGGTTCATTACAGGCGAACCGAACAGAAATTCTCAGATCATCGTCCGGTTACAGCGATTTACATGGCCGAAGTCGAAGTGTTTTCTGCGAGGAAGCTTCAGCGAGCGTTGACATTCACGGATGCAGAGATTGAAGACGAGGGACTTGTTGCCGTTCTCGTTTAAAAGAAGAGGAAATGAGATTTGGTTCTTGTTTGTTTGATCTTTGCATATGAAGTATTGGCGAAAGAGACATTCTCTTTCTACGGATAGGTTTTTGAATCTCATGTCCTTATACTGATGCATCACACTGAGGGAAAACGTTCACATTCTTATAGTTTTTATTCTTCTTCTTTTGTGTGTTGGTTTACGGTTGTAAATTTAGTTGATATATAATGAAATCAAGAACATTTCACATCCATGATTATTGTTATTAGTAGTTATTAAGAAAAAAAAACGAAGAGGAAAAAGGCCTTTTTTCTTTCTCGGTTTCTCCTATGAAGGGAAATTTTTTTTTTGGAAAAAAGATAAATGCACCAGCCGGGAATTGAACCCGGGTCTGTACCGTGGCAGGGTACTATCATGCCACTAGACCACTGGTGCTTCTGATAAACTGGTATAATAATTTTATTAAAACAAGTTTTACTCAATTTAACTGTTTTGAAAGTTAACAAACCTCTATATACAAGGGAAGAAACACATAAACTGATGAGAGTAACAACAATAGCAACATATATTCACCTAACTTCTCTTCTTCTTTTGATCTAATTGCAGAAACTTTTAGTTGTATATTGGCTTTTCAATGCGAATCTGCTTCATCCTTCAAGGTAAATCCAGAAGCAAAGGCTTTCTTAGCCAGTACTGTTCAAATCTCTGCCTTGCATATTCCATGTAATCGAACTCAATCTTGTTCACATGTCCCTGCTTTGCATCAAAAGACACTAGAGATTACTACCAGTTTTCAACATTAGAGCTAAAAAGTATCTGAAGGAGTTTATACAAAGAAGGGAGAGAAAGAGAGAGAGAGGGAGAGAGAGAGAGCGAACCGAGATGATTCCCCATAAGCCCCAGAAGATATGGTTTGCTAAAGTGTAGCTCTCTGCATCAGTCAATAACATCTCTATTTCTTCCTCACTTGTTGCATTCCCTGAGTTTCACAAAAACATGATTAAGAGAAGAATTTTTCTTGAGGTGTGAAGAAGTACCTAATGCTTCAAACTATACAAACCTGTAGAGCCAAGATATGTGCTAATGAACCTTCTCCTTTCTTCTTCTCCTGTTGGTTTATCATTCCACACACACACACACACACACACAATCAGACTCTAAACTACCCTTGAGTAACATAAGAGATATATATTTTCATTTACAGATATGGACCTGGATATAGAGTGTAATCCAGAACATGAGGAGTGTCTGAATGGTAATTAGCAGCCATCTCACAGAAGTGGTTTGCAATGTCATAAGCAATTGGGTTGAAACTCGAATACTCATAGTCCTGCAATCAAACATTAATGAAAAACAGAGCACTTTCTTGATGAAAAGAGAAAAGCTTCGATTCAAAAAAGCTTACTATGATGGTAATGGCATTGGTTTCTTCATCAATCATGACATTTCCGTACTGAAGATCGTTGTGACAGAAACCAATCTCTTGATCATCCCTAGTAAGTCTCTCTTCCAACAAATTGATTTCATCTTCCATAACTTCCAACCGATACTCATCCATCTCTATTGGTGAAGCCAAGTTCTTAGCCTCCTTAAGCCAAGTCCTAAAGAAATCAACAAACAATTTAGCAAGAAACGTTGATCCTCTATATATACTGAAATGAAGTTTGTATTCTTTTACCTGAGTCTTTCCCAGAGAAGAACGTTCCTTGGACCAGGCATATCAAGCTTATGAAACTCTCTTAGTTTCGCAGCGATGAAATCAGATGTTTCGACTATACGAAGATCATCTGCAGAAAGAGTCTGGTAAACGGACCAAACCAATCATACACAATCAATCTCTCTCTCTCTATATATTTTTCCGATCACGAGATTTCTTGAAACGCAAACAATTTATACCACTAACTAAACCTATCTTCCTCTGTTATTCCTTAGAACCCAAAACAAAAAAATCAAAACTTTAAAGACAAAAAAAATGGTAAAAAGAAGAAAACGTACTCTTGCGTGGATAAATTCTTCAAGACGACCATCAGAGAAGCGACCAAGAAGCTTAGGACCATAACCATGATGAGACATACACTCAAAGGTTTTGATTTCATCATCTCTGTTAAAGAAAAGGTCAACGCCGTCACCGTAGATCCGAACAAGAACTTTCCGGTGAACATCTTCGCCGTTTAAAGTAGGCCAATTAATCTGATAAACCTCGTTAGTCATAGCTCCTTTTAACGGAACAACCTCAAGACGTTCCAGATCTTCAACTACATCTCCCCAGCTTGAACCTAGCGTTTGCAAAACGCGTTTTAGATCCTCTGGTGATGAACAACTTGGAATCAGACTAGTCTTTGTCTTGATCGCCATTTTTTTGTTGACAAGATCGGGAAAAAGTTTTGAGAATCTTTTTGCAGGGAAAATATTAAAAACCCAGAAAAAGGTGGAAGAAGAAGATTCGACGGGTATGAGATTCTTTTAAGAGAGAAGATTAATTATCCACACAAAAATCTTGGAATCTTTTTATGGAAAGAAATTATTCTGTGAAATGAATTTTTGAACTCGACGAAATTACGTTTCTGGGTATTTTTATTTATATAGAGTAATATAAATAAACAAAAACCCAGAAAGATAAGAACGCGTAATGACGTTGTTCGTCTCGTGTAGCGATTGGCTTTTTCGAATGACGGTGTTTTTAAAAACGGTTATCGTGACCGACGGTTTTGTTGGGACCAATGAGGAAAAAACACGTGGATATTTAAGGCGCGGGTAAGTCAACGGCGTAACGAAACGGTCATTGTTAAAGTCAAAGTCAACGAATCCAAATAGTCTTCTCTTTTTTTTTGGACTGCGAGACAGCAGTAAGATTTTTTTTTTTTTTTTTAACAGTTGTTGTGGACAGGTTTTTAACCGTTGTCTCGCAGTGAATTTCCCGAAATTATTAGACTCAGAAACTCAGATGTAGAAAATTTTGTAGTGAAAGAGCAATATAGAGAAAAATAACACTGTTTTCTATATATAGTGGTCCTATTACTACTATCATATATTCGATGTGTTAATCACTATTATAGAAATGATTAAACTTTTAAAAGAAAGGATTTTCTATAATAAAACAGAATACTGCTTTCTAAATAAAGTACACTCACAGATGAGATAAAAATATATATTTCATGTCTATAAATGTCTTAAGAAATCTATATGAAAGCTATAGATAACAGCATATATAGATTTCTACTTTAAAAATGTTTTTTTTCTCCTAATTGGCATTTGACTTTGACATTTTCATATGTGACGCATTTTTTACTTACCTAACAAATATCTTCAAAGACTTAATCAACATGACCTTTTCTTCCGGTATACATTATTTAATGTTCCCTTGACATAAGTTTGGCGACAATGTTGCACTCTTGACGTAGTACAAGACTTTTAAGATGATAAGATCCACCAAACACATAAAGTACAATGATTCAACGAAAATGTTCAATGGTACAAAATAGTGTAACAACTACTAGAAAAATGGGCTCAAGCGTTCGTATTTTGGTTTTGCTTTATTAGAGTATATAAAGACGTGTTATTATACCTATAAATCATACTGTTATTGATCTTCTAGAGGCTTGTCTTTGCTTCCATAGGTTAAACCTCACCCTTCTTTGCAACAAAAAACACAGGAACACTACAACCACTAAAAGGGTGATTGTGATTCCATTATTTGTCTCTGTGAAAAACTGCGTTAGAAGTGGCTGACCGCAGCTTTTACAGCTACAGTCGCAGCTGCTTCTCAGTAGATTGCCTCGGGAACTTGTTTCTGGGATGAGAATGAAATCAGCGGTAACAGCGTTTTCACCTAACCAAACAGTTGTTGTTTTCGATTTGTATCCTGGGGATGATGCTGTGACTGCAAATCAGTAAAGGAAACTCAAAATGACGCAAGTAATCAACAATAACAAGGAGAAATAAAGAATAGATCGTATTGTTAGTGTCAGCTTATAACAGTGGTGCAATAGTCTATCCTCTGTTAAAAGGAGGTATCATAGTGCATTTGTAAGCCGCAGAGTCTTAAGGATGAACCACTAAAATGAGCTAGTAATAATGATAATCATCAGCTTATAACAGTGGACAACTCTAATATCATACTGATAAGAACATAATCACACGTATTTTGAGCTGAATGTGAGGAAAGAACATCAGACCTTCATATTTCTGACCAGGTGCAAGCAACCGATGATAGTCTGCGTACCTTTGATGAGCTTTAACCTGGAGAGGATAAGGATTATAATGAGTAATGAAGAACTAACAAAAAATTTCAGATTTTGGAATAAGGAAATTTTAGAAGGCAAGGTTAATATGTGTATACCGTATAGTTAATTCCCTTGACCACAACAAACCCAGGCAGTGGCTTTCCCTGGTCTAATGAAAAGATCCGCCCATGAACTCCTGTCTAAGGTAAAAGAGATGAGGGCGTACTTGACAAAAAAAACAAAAAAGATTATATCTACAGCGATGGAAGCAAAGGCGCAAACTTCCATTAATGTAACCAATCTATAGAGGTTCAATCAAAAATGATACAACAAGATTAAAATGTTGGGTTCTAAGACAAAGATAAATAATACCTTCACTAGGCTTGCAACAAGATTCAGCATGCTCTTTCTATTGTAATCCCAAATGGTGGGAAGCTGTATAAGATATGTGAACTTTATCAGCTAACTACCTTGCAAAGGAGAAACACTTATCACACAGCAATATAAGATTTGACCTCTGAGGCTCTAGGCCACTTGTTGTCGCTTATTTCCAGAGTCAATTCAAAGCATCCTCCATGTATGTAATTCCAGTCTTGCATGCCACCATAAATTGGGTACCTGTAGAGCGTTTTGCTTAAAGCATTAACCAAGAAACTCATTTGTTGGATAAGACAGAGGAAGGGGATTGGATGTGATACCAGGATGCTCCATTTGTGATTCCTTCCTCAAATTCTTTGCTCAAAGACATGTTACGGTGAGATTTGCTATATATACGTGCCAAGAACCGGAATGTCTCATCATCAGGACATGCATAATAGTATTTCCTGCAAGAAGAGTGCAGAACAGCTACATGATTTTCGCATTTCCTCAAGGACCAAGCAAGGATCTTAGTATCAAAACCATTTTGAATAGAATTAAACACCTCTTATCATCTGTACCATCCCATGGAAAATTTGCGACCAGCGCACCCTGAAACAAAAGACAGTTTAGCAAATACTTTATTCACATTGAATCACGATTTTCCTTGATGTTACATTAAAGCCTCTCCGATATTCTCGAAAGTAAATTTTCAAATTGGACATATTTAAGACGTTATAGTATGCACAAGTCTGATACAGGAAAATTACCCCGTGCAGAGTAGCCGACGCTGTGAATCGTATATCTCTCAGCCAAGTCATAATTGCCCTAGTTTCAGGTTGCCTCAAATTCAAGTCTTCATTGAAAGAAAAGAACTGCATTATCAGGTATGAGTTGAGTAAGCCAAACGTGACTATGAATAAAACCAACCAAAATCTAGCCACCATCATGCAAATCACAGCATTTATGAAAATACAACTTAGTGTGAAAAGCGGCATCAGACAATCACCTGGTCAGGGAAGTCGCGATTTAGATCCACATTGTTTGCATTATTACGCTTCCTGAATGAAAAGCCATCTGGATTCAATGATGGCATTATATGAAGGTGAACATTTTCTACAATCATCTGAGCCTGCATACCAGAATGAAAAATATCAGTATATGTCTATTTCTTAAGAAATTTTATTGAAGATGAGTGAACTTACCAACGGATCCTTCTTGTAGTTATCACAAATCCAGTTTGCAAGACGTAATAAGAGCTCACGCCCAACAGGTTCATCTCCATGTACATTCCCAATGTACTGCATGACCAATTATTCAACTATTTAGATTCGTCTAGGCTATCACCAGCGGAAATCATAACTGATAAACTAATATCTCAAAGACTGCATGTATAAGCAAAGATAATTTCACAGTTTTTAACCTTGAATGCAGGTTTAGCCTCTATCTCTCCAGGCCTGTCTGAAATCTCAATGACCCACTATAGAGGCAAATCATGAAACAAACAGAACAAGGCATCATCGATTGTGATCTTAAAAGTCACACATTATACAAAAAAGAAGATTCACTTCTGATAGATAAGAATGCATTACCAAAGGAAATCCATTGACACTCTTTCCGATGCTGAAAGCACGTTCCAGAAAACCCTCAAAGAGAGAAATAAAGAACAAAATCAACACCACCATAAGAACGATTATTCATACAAGTGTTAGCCAAGTAATTACCTGTATAATCTCGAAATCTTACTACATCTCTTGGTGAAATCCTTCATTGCTTTCTCAAGATCATCATTAGTCATGTATCCACGAGTTAATTCCAAACTTCGAATAATGAAAAATACAGTTATCATTACACAGAAAACATTAATAACACTCCATTAACATTTTGAACCACCAATAACGACATTACCTCGGTCGAGTCTCTTCTTGAGCAAATAAGTGCCTCACAGTACCATGAAAACTAAAATTCCCATCACCTAAATATTTGATACACAAATTCCAGATTAACAAAATCACTGAATTATCAGAAGCAGTTATGCATAATAAACCTCAATTAGATAATTGTTAAACTTATTACCAAATCAAGTGCAATTAATGACGTAAGTAATTAAATCTGCGAATAGATTTATGCGGTGGGAGCAATAATTAGATAGTGAAGATTAAAATAAAAATGGCGGCGGACCTGGGTGGATATAGTCGGAGTGGCCACCTCTAGCGGCGATCGACGGAAGGAAAAAGCAGATCGCCGTCGAAATTAGGAGACTATTGACGAATCTAAGCTTGCTCATATCTAGAATCACGCAGATCTCTCCTTCTCCTTATCACTTGTTTGCCGATTGATTCGATAAAGCAATGCCGAGTTTCCAGATTTCCACCATTGCTGGGATAGGAGAAAAGTACAATGGGAGGGAAGGCGGAGGGGACATACCATTAGAGAGTCAGAGACTGTTGACCAAAACTTGGGCTTTGGACTGTTACAAAAATGTTGGGTTTTGGGCTATAATAGTTTATGGGCCCAATTTAAATTGACTCTTTAAGCCCGTTAAAAATGTAATAACTCAGATTGGCGCATAGATGATAGATGGAGTCTTTCTTTCATCATGTGTGAAGTTTTGCTATAGCTAAATATGCATAATGACATCAATCCTTTTCTTCTGCAATATGTGCTAGGGATGCAAGTTTCGGGTATATGGAGGTGAAAGTCGGAAACGGAATATTCGGGTAACGGTGAGGGTTCATGAAACAATTGATGTCTAATTGGGATCATCAGATTTGGATGACGGGTCGTCTAATGGTTTTTGAGATTGTAGCTTAAGAGAGTCACTCAGACCAATGTTAAGACATGTACTTTGGTATGATAAGAAGGTGAAACACTATTTATTCATCATCAGTCCTTAGACATTCGACAAACATGACACTACAAAACAAAGTTGAGATGAAGCAACGTTCTTATTTATCAGATAGTTTTAAGCATTCAACAAACCAACCACGAACTGAATTAAAACAGAGTTAAGAAAAGAAAAGGTCGAGATTTATGGTTATTTAGATCATGGAAATAGCTTCCTCTATGCCTTCTTCCAAAACGGACATGAAACTTTGGGTGTTTCTGGCTGAACAGTTGGAACGAATCTCTCCTTGTGTCCCCGTCAAGACACTCATCTGACCCATCTTGATCATCGCCACCGTAAAATGATCAAAAAATAGCTGCTGGTTAATAGCAAAGCTCTCCACAATACCACGTGTCCTCTTGTCCACGAACAGATCCTGGTCAGAAGTAAACAGCCCTTGTCGGTTCATGAGATCAACATAGTACTTGTTGTCAAACACGTCAGGACTCCTTATGTCATTCACTTGCGTGTTGCTCGAGTTTGCCATGGGACAAGTGCGTTTGAGGCTGTTGGCGAAGAACTGATTCATGGTTGGGTCTTGGTTCGGGTAGAGCCGGTCTGTGAAAGATGGACAATGCGCAATTCCGATGGTGTGACCACCGGAAAGTGCTACTAAGTCGGTGATGTTGAGGTTTCTGCTGGCGAAGTCGGCGATGAGCTGGCTCGCGTTGGCGAACGGTGGTGGTAAGTTATTTAACGTCGTTTCCTGGCTCGCGAACGCCAGTGAGTCACGTCGGCCAAGTGGCACAGCATAGTCTGGCCCTCCTGACTACATTGACACACAAAAAAATAATTATCAGTTAGAATAATATGTGTAAGCTAATGGTTTGTATTAGTGTGACCGCGTAGTCATAAAAGAGAGAGAGATGTGATTACTAGGACGACGGAGTCGCGGGCGGCGAGAGCGAGGATATCGGAGCAAGAGACGACTTGACCACACTTCTTTTGGACGAGGGCACGAAGGTTATTGATGACGACAAAGGCTTGTTGACGTAGTGTCAGGTTCGGGATTGATGATTGTTCTCCTGGTCCACTGGCTGATCCAGCTAGCAGCACTGATGCTTCACATCCCTGTTTATTTTAAAAACATTATCTTAGTTTATTAATTTCTCTTTGCTCAAAAAATAAAATAAAAAAGTTTATTAATTTTCTCATAACAGACAAATTTTTTTTAAAAAAAATCTCATAACAGAAAAATAGAAATGAAAAATACTTTCAGAAGTTTCCTCCGAAATTATATAGCTAATCAAATTATGCCACATCTCATAATTATTGATAATATTTAGTTCTTAAGTAATATACAAGAAGGTGTTGCATGCAAGTAAGACTATGATGATATAACTTAGTTTTCCTCAAGGACTAATTTTAAGCACAATCGTTGCATTGGGAAGCCCACCATTCTCTCTCACTTGGTAAAGTTTTTCTAGATCTAGGGTTTCGTTTTATTGAGCTTCATCTTCGGCGGCGGATCTGCAAAGGAGGATCAGGGGTGAGCAAGCTCTTTCTCCGACAACGGGGTGTGGTTTCTTCCCCTTTCGAGGTAGTTGTGGCACCGGTTGGGATGGTTGAGAAGCTCTGGAGCTGTGGCTTTCCGGTTGAGGACGCTGGAAGGTTTGCCTGGAAGTCTTCTCGCGGCTCTGCCATCTTCACGGTCGCTGCGGCTACGGCGGAACTCGGAGGGGTTTAGGTGGGAAGCGTTGTTTCGTCTGGTGGTTAGCTGCAGATCTCTGATCTTAGAGGGCTATCGCAGATTCCGGAGTCAGGGTGTTCGTCTGAGCCATCGACCCTTGAATCCGCTGCGGTTTCGCATCCACCGGACCGGATCGAAAGTTATGTGCTCTGGAGGTTTGAAGGTGTTCGGATCTGGAGCGGAGGGGTTTGGTCCCAGTGCGACATATTGCTTGGTCAGGATATGTCGACGTAGAGCTGGTGTGTCGGAGAGTCGAGTTTTCTGGGAGGTTTGTAGCGGGATTGGCGAGTAGACGGTGAGGTGCATCGTCGGAAATTGGTTTCTTCCAACGGCGTTTTCAATCCTTCTTCTCTGCCTCAAAGCCGTGGACCTTGAAACCACCGGATCTAAGGCGACTGACTCTCTGCCACCGGTAACCAACAAGATCCGAGCTTCCGTTTTAGATTCCGGTGACACTTTCCGATTTCCTTTTTGTACCTGGTACCAAGTTTGTAAGGCCCAAGGCCCAGCCCATTAGGGTTTTTTTAAAATAAAATATTATATTTAAAAAAAAAAAAAAAAAAAAAAAAAAAAAAAAAAAAAAAAAAAAAAAAAAAAAAAAAAAAAAAAAAAAAGTAAGACTATGAGATATGAATATCTGATTATAATTAGTAGTGGTGCAAAAAAATTAGGTTTAGTATTTGGCTAGAGGAAATATCAGATATTTTCCACAGAAAATTGAATTTATTAAATGTTGATATCCAAATAAATAATTCACATATGCTATCGTATCATGATATTTATTATTTCTATTATTGGCTGGATATTGAATTATTTAAGATATTTACGTTCCATAACTGAGATCCAACTAACATACGGAAAGCCGGTGAATAGTATTAATGCGACATGTCCTTATACATTTAAGTCAATCCTATTGCATGTTTTAGTGGTTTTTTTTTTTGGGTAATTTTTTTTGCGGTAAACACTGTTGCATGGGTTAAATATTAATGCCTTAACAAAAGAAAATGTGTTAAATATCAACGTAATATTAAACAATACTATTCGATGATATATCTTCGTCACTTAATTTCTGTTTACACTAAGAAACCATTAATGTTTTGAAACGAAATAAAAGTGAGAAGCTGACAACCCTTATTTCTTGAATTTCGAGGCGATATTTGTGTTTTTCTTTTCTTTAAGGTTATTTTGGTCGGATTTTAAAAATAAAAGTCAAACCTGTATCAATTTGTAAAAATATCTCATTTTCATCTTTGTTCGGATCCACAAGACCACAACCCGAATCCCTTTTTTTTGTGTGGGTATAATGAGTGATGAGTGGATATGGTTTTTTATATTTAAAGAATGAGTTTTTTTGTTATTAAACAAAAAAATGAAAGAATATGTAATTACATACGTAGAAGTTAGAACCGTTTAGAGTAGGCTTAAAGAATCAAATTAAGTTTTCTTAGGTTTTAATACAAGAAACATAAACAAAAGTAAATAAAGATTGAACCTGAACGAAGCAATCATGGAAATGTATACGAAGGATGGCTGCGGCTAAACCAATGTCTCTCTTGAAGACTTTCTTGAGCTCTTTTTTGATAATGTTTTCGACTTTCGGACATGCTTTCTGGTAAAAGTTCCATGAGAGACCTTTCACTATAGGAACATCTGTTCTCCGCTTCTTTGCCTCTGCGGTGGACAAAAGGTTCAGTGTCACCGCCATTAGCGAGATCAACATCAGAAACGTGAGGACACGTGTTGGATAAGCCTTTGCCATTTTTTGGTTTTTTTATCAAAGCCTCTCTCTTCCTTGTTTTTCTTGTTCTTGGGGGAATAGATGGACTTTGTTTTTATAGGCAACTTTGGTCCTTGTGTGTTTTTATTTTTATCTTTTCAATTTTTATTTATTTTTTACTTAGGTTGAAACTTGAAAGGGATACTATAGCCTTTTCCTTCTAACTATTTATTGTTTAAAGGAGAGTATTTTTCTTTATTTTACAAAAATAAAAAAATATAAGTGGAAGCTTTGCGTCTGGTCTCGTTCACTGTGTTAAACATAGCAATTGTTAAGCAAAAGTTTTTTCTTTACCAAACAAATTATAAATTTTACAGTTTTCGGATCAAAGATTAAAGCAAATATATACATGCGATCGAGTATAATTTTTTTTCCGCTGGCATTATAGTTGTGATAATGGTCCACCTATTATTTCAGCTTGGCTATTGTCTATTGACAATGGATATAAAATTGTTTTTGTGTGCACTCTTTTCAAATACTTAACCGGTTAAAAGAGTAGTATTGTTTTAGCTAGTGCTACACTGATTGCTGAACCCGAATTCAAATTGCATGTTCTACGTTTAGAGGGATTATTTAATATTTACGGTCCTTTCCTAAGTTCTCTATATTATTAAGGACTAGTTCTGCATCTTTTCTAAATTTTATTTACTTATAATATGGTTTTCTTGGTCTAAGAGGCCAAAAAAAGAAAACGATTTGAACCCCTTTTTAAAAGGAAGTAAATGCGTCGTTCGATGAGGATTTTTTTGAAGAAACTCGCATAACAGTGGAAGAATCTCAAGACAATCACGCGCGCTTGTGTTGGCATATTCGCTGAGTCAGTAGTGGATCGTAAATGGGTTATGAAGATTGTGACTTTGCAGAAATGGTGGGACATTTGAAATAACCAAAAAGGATAAAGACTTTGAAGTTTGATAAAAACTAAACTAATGCAAAGCTAGCACGTGAGAGTAGACACCACCAATGACCAAACAAGTGTGTTTCACAGAAGCTAGCATCTGTATGTGTTAGAGACACTTTTAGTTTATGTCCGCCACGTTCCTATGCTCTCTCTCCCTTTCCTACTATTAATTAGATATACGTTACATCCAGAAAAATCCACATAAATTTTGCTTATAGTTGGAAAAACTAGTACAGCTCCATAAATGTGTATGAACTGTTGTGAAAAAATAATTTTGGAACGAAAATAAGTTTGTTATCGTTATAAAAAGATATGTCACTAAATTTCTATATATATTAGAAATATGTATTTTTATAACATATAATGTAGCAACAAAACTTGTATAGATAATTAGTTAATTACCATGGACTTCCGGAATAAATTATTGTTCGCATTCTAGTCCGATTTTAGAAACATTTTGTGTGATCCGATTTTAAACAAAAAACAATTATTTTCTTCAATTCATTTCATGCTTGTGTATAAGATACTTCAAACAACAATAATACTTTGTTAAAAAAACTTCTATTGTGAATATGATTTGGATAACGCGCTGGAAAAATAATATGTTCCAACATGAAATATTAAACAAATACCCAAAAAAATTCTGAATAGAAGTCGTAAAAAATAGTCTATGTCGCACTTGTGAGAATAGAATACATTAACAAGTTAAAAGATATATTCCAAAAGCATGGTAATGCTCTCTTGTCTGCTTAATTTGTGCTAAGTACATAGGTGGGAGTAGTTGGCTTGAACATTACATGATCTTTGATAAGTCTCTCTTCACCTAATCCATTTTGGATGAATGGTCATTTTTTATACTAGATTTTACTTAAGTTGTAATAATCAATCGAATTCAAATCTAAAGTTTTAATTTTTTAGTATTCCATGTTTTAGAGACTATCATCACTAAGTTTTAAGGATGTGTTTTTGTCCGCCAAAAAGTGAGTATATCACTATTCTATTCTTTTTAAATGATTTGTAGCCTTTAAAACGTGATATTTTATTTATTTAGGTAGCTGTATAATTGTGTTCTAAGAAATAATAGGAGAGATAAGTAATTAAAATACATCACCTTAACAGGTTGGCAGGTGTGATTGTGAACATTCATGCACCTTTTTAGAAAATGAAAATTTCAAGTCATTTACTCATTGATATATCTTCCCTCTTTTTATTTGGGTTAAAACTCATTTATTATTTGGTTAGAAATCATTTACCTCCACATGATATTACATGATTACTTTAGGAACAGATGACTAAGTCTAAGTATAAACTCATTTAGGTTTACAGAAATTAGGGTGGGCCGAGAGAGATAATGGGGCTAGTTTCATGAAACTGGCAACACGTCCTTATTCTATATGTTTATGACATGACTTATGACTTACGAGAAACTTATATTGAACGATTTATATATATAAAAGAAGGAGGAGTTTCGTGGAAAGTGAAAAAGTGAAAACGAAATTACCATTTTTCTATCGTTTTAAATTTTTGGGATGCTTCGAAGGTTTTGGTACGTAATGAACTAATGATCAAAGATAATGGCTCCAGGCATGCAAAATGTTAAAGATATACCTTTATGTTAAAATGAACCATCATGGTCTTGATTACATTAGACAACATGCACATAAATTTATATTGTAAAGCTGTAAAAAAAATGTATTAGGCATTGATTCTCCTACTCAACCCACCAACAAAAAAGAGCCGAAAGCAAATTCTATAATTATACATATATGCAAAAGAAGACCCCTCATCATTTTTTTCCTACAAAATTGCAAATGGTAAGAATTAGCAGCCCACGAGCCAAATTGTTATAAATAAATTTATACAATGAAACAGAGTAAATTAAAAAAAAAAAAAAGAAGAAGAAGAAGAAGAAGACTATATTTTTAATTTTTTATTTAGTTCACGAAAAAAGAAGACTAATTAAGACTAGTTGATAACAAAAGACTTGATAAAAAGATAAAGATGAACTAGAAAAAAAAAAGATGAAGAAAGACAGTGTAAACTATTAAGAGAATAGAAAAAAAAAAAAAAGAGAGAGTGTTGTTGTTATTCGAGAAAAAAAGGAAAACTAAGAAGTCCTTACAAAAAATAAATTAAAAAGAGAAGGAAATTTAGAATTCCGTGACGGGCCAGGCCATGACCAATTGAGCCCAATCAAGTGTAACTGGGCTTTAACTTAAAAGCCTTTTTATATTAGGGTTATATATCCCTTGATCCAAACATTAAGAGGGGTTCAATCAATTCATTGTTTTGGTCGCTTAGAAGTTTGAATGTTCGTCTTCATAATCAAACGAGCTCTAATAAGTGTTGCCTATTGATTTCCTAATAATATGTTTTAACGTTTTAAGTTTTAACTGTAAAATGTGGAACAGAACAGACTAATAATGAGCAACATAAAATGTCTCTCTTTGATATCGTATCAAGGGAGAAAAAAATCTTCTAAAATCACACGAAGTCGAAACTCATGCAGAAAAACCAGTGGCAAACCCCAGCTACATGAAACTAAGCCTGAGGCTGTAATTTTTCGGTGGCACTAAAACACTAAATAAAAGTTTCTTTGTTAATTTTCGCTCTTAACAAAATGTGATAGAAATGTACTACTTATTTGTATAAGATATGTACTCTTCTTTTTTTTTTACATTTCTTGTAAAAGATATGTGCTAAGTTACGTACTAACTCATTTGTATAATTAAAAACCAATTAATTTGTGTGTTTTGCATGAACCGCATTGCATAATAGTGGCCGATTTCAATTGTTAACCAGTTTTTTTATTTTATTTTTTCTATAAATTCCTGACAGAAGTTAGATTTGGGTATCACATCCTCTTACAAATTAACGATATCCAAAATTCGTTTTATATATTGTAATCAAGACAAGACGTATCTCATAACAAATCTATGGTAAACTTATTTTTGGGATACGAATCAATTTTCTTAAGTATCTTCCACTTATAATTATAGTTTTCTCTTATGTCTGCCACTAATTAAAGTAATCAGATTTATTGTCTAGTTGTAAATTTCCCTCATCGCAGTCCCTAGACGCATTTGTGAAAACTATCCGCAATCTCGTTCTTGCTTTCTATAACCATTATTCTTTTTCTTTTTTTTTCTGTTTAATCTAAAGCTTCTACAAGAGTACTTAAGCTGGTCTTTCATCAAACTTGCGTTTATTTGCTACGTAAGAAAGTACTGTTTGTGTTATGAACATATTATATACATGAGTTTAATTCTGATGGTGAAACATGTACATATTTTGTGTTGGACCAATACTTTTTGTTGTTTTAATCAAATTTTTTTGTTTTATTTTGTAAACTAAAAATTTTGGGCCGAAACCATACATCTGACCAACTTTTAGTATTTTAATATGTATCATCTACCATTCAATCTTATGATTTATTGAGAATTTCCAGGATACTTTTCCAATCAAAGGTATGATATTAATTTTACATTACAAAGAAAAATTGGACTCGAAATATCTTTTAGTTAGACTAAATTTCTTTTTTTTTTTTTTTTGGTGAGCGTTAGACTAAATTTCTTTTAGCTGGACAATTGGACATTACCCGAGGAGAATCATCTAATTGAATCGGGAGAAAGACGACACGTGGTCGCTTATGCTCTATTCCAACATACCTTTTTAAGATTCTGAAATTGAGCTTTTAATTTAATAAAATCAAGAATGTGTGCTAGGTTCTTTTTGTAGGGCCGTTCCCTGAAAACAGATCACTCATCAAAACCTGATGTTTTTTTTTTTAAGTTTATAAAATAAGAATACATATAGATAGTTTCTTTTTAACAATTATATAGATCAAATTAGCTACACAATATATTTACAATCGATTGGAAATGAGAAACTATGATAAAACGAATACATTGGAGGAGTTATGATTTCAGTTGTATAATTTTGTAATCGTTTAATGCAGTTTTACAATTTTATCAAATAATATTAAATAACATAACCGATAATCATAACTTATGGTTCTAAATTGAAGCACAGTAATGGAACCTCTTAGTTAAAAAGAAAACAATATAATAAAAAAACAGAATTACTTCGTTATATATTGTGGATTAGCATTGATCTCAAATTTAG